CCGCTCCGCCTCCCTCGATGCCTCAACCGCAAGTCCCGTTGCAGATGACGCCCCAGCAGGGGGCCCAGCAGTTGAAGACTCTCCCGCACGTAGCTCGGATGCAGTCGCCGCCTCAGCCGGCAGCGCCGCGCCGTACGGCGGCCCAGCGGGCCGCTCCATGGCGGCCCCCGGCGTGGCAGCCGAGCGCTCCCAAGCGGACCGCCCGCGGGCGAACGGCTGCCGGCCGGCCGCCTGCCGGGCGCCTGGCCCCCGAGCGCAGGGGACGCCAGTGGTCACAGGGCGGGCCGCCGCAGGGGCAGATGGTGCAGAGGCGGGCACAGGCCCAGTTGAACGTAGGGCAGGCGGTGCACCCCTCATGACCAGTCCAAGCTACTGTTGTGAGAAGACTCTCGTTGGCGGAGAGTCCCTGCCCATCTTGAAACAAGGAATGCCCTGTTTGGTGTATACGGTCCAGATTCGTTCCTTTTTCTTACGCAGTTGGACCTTGCTGAAAATTTCTCGCTCTGATTTCGTGAGGGACTCATTCACGAACAACGTATCGTCTGGGTCCTGCCGTCTCAGCCTCAGTTTCGTGCGATCTACGTTGATAACGTTTCGAAGATGTTTATCCTTGAAGGCACAGATGACAGAGTTGTCATTCTGCAGGCGATGCACTGCTGAGAAGTCCGCATTTGTGACGATTTTTCCGGGAAAGCTCTCATTTATCAGCTTGATCAGGACAGCTGCTATGTCTTCGCCGTCCCCGCGTCTTCCGATTTGTTTGCTCCAAAAAATCAAGTTTGCAGACCGACTCTGCCGCTCTAACTCCTCTGCTTGTTCTTCCAAGCATTCCATTGTCTCATGGCACGACTGCAGCTTTGCTTCCAGCTTTTCGATATGCTAGTCTCGGGTAAAGATTTCGCCTTGCATTTGGCCCGACTTGTCTTCGTAAGCCGACAGCCTTTTGTCGATTTCTTCCCAGTGTTGGGTTTGCTCTCTCAATGGATGACACAATCGATGCTTTTATGTCAGCAAGCATGTCTCCATCTTCGAAACTGGCATTTTCCTTGTGTTTTGGTGACACCATTCTTTGGCGTTTGTCGTCCATTGCCCTTATCATTTCACCACCTGACCGCTGTCGGTTTTTTCGCGGTAAAGATCAGATGCAGGGCAGGCCCTTCTTCGTTATCTGCCGGAAGGAATGCTGACTCGCTGGCTGACCTTACGTCAGGCACAGATGCAACAATCTGGCTTAGGCTTCACTCTGAGTCACCACTTGCTATCGCAGAGACGCTCCGAGACCACGGGCCGCTCCCCTCACGAAGTTAAACGCACCGCATCAACAGCTGATGAGCGACGCGGAGTGGGCCCGTAGGCACAACCGCACCGGCTGGGGTCAAGGCTCCGGCTGCTTTTACGACGCACTCAGCTGCTGAGACTATATGGCGTCGCCTGCTTCTCACCCTGGCAGGAAGGGCGGGCACCGCGGGGAATCAAACCCCGTACCTCTGGTTTCCCAGATGCGCAGTGGTTAAAGCAGACGCGTTTGCCACTACACTACCGGCACCTGATTTTGAATTTTTGAGCGTGTACTTGGGAATATTGGTTGGGTGAAGTCAGCACCTTTAAGGTCACTATCCTAAAAGTCCCGTGACTCTTGAGAGTCGGGCAAGACTGAGGACGGCTCTTCCAGCCACCCATCTTCTCATGCGTGCGCGATTCGTGTCCATCCGTGGGTGGCCGCGCCGCGACTCCAAACCGTGTCGTCGCCGTGTTTCCGCTGTGTTCGCTTCCGTATGTATAAGCGCTGTGTGCGTTCAGTTAAAAACAGAAGGAATGTTTGCATCACGCCCATCAAATGCATCACGACCATCATAGTTTTCGAATAACTGTTTTCACCGTGTCCTTAAGGACACGCAGACAAGAGCAGCGCATGTAAAATTCCAAACACAGGATGAATACGGAAAAATCCAAGTGAAAACCAGCATATTACATTTGCAGAAAAACAAATTTCACTAAGCGATCACATAAATGGAAGAACACATCTCTCACTGACCGGATCACTACTGGAGGGAACGCATTTCCAGGTTTAATCGCATTAGCCTGCACTCCAAAGCCAGTTATCGGCGGATGGGAATACCTTCCGCGGCTGGCATCGCAGTGGTCGCTGTGGATGGCTTTCCTGGTTTCGCAAATGCCTGCTGACATCCGCAACCATAAGCGCAGAGGAAAGAACTACTGCGCTAGTGTTCTGCATAAGTGGCAGTGTTGGAATTCTAGAAGTTTTTCGCGGAATTCAACCATATTAAATTTACACTCCGAATTTCATACTAGAAAGAATGAGCACGCGAGGCTTCCCGTACAAAACCGTACATATATCACCCACAACAAGGAAGAAGTACCAGACACACATACGTCACATCAATTAATATCGTCCAACAAGCCATCTCAAACAATTTTCTTACCAAGGTCCACGAACGATAACCCACCCACCCTCACCGACACCTTCCAACCGGGCCAAGTTTCCTCCGCGCTCTCACCGCACAACATTACATAAGCCACAGCCGCGTCAGTCTTGTCTACAATCGCGTTTTCGCGTGCCGTGCGTAAGTCATATATATTTGAATAATTTAAATTACATCCACTTTTCCATGCCAGTCTTGAAGTGACAGTGATATACCAAGAAAGCAAACAGCTTAGCCTGATGGACAACCAGTCCAAATGCGCGTCTTTGTTTTGATTTACTGAAGGAATATTGCGGCCTACAAAACAGTCAACATGCTTATATTCACCTTTGAGTTATGGCTGTGATGATGAACATTCCGAATTTCTCATACAATTGAAAACATCCCTCTCAGTATTTGAATCTTTGTCATAGACCCTCGCCCTGATTCGCCGTTTTTGATAACGCGGACTGATAGGAGAAGGGGGGAGGGGGGGTCAATAAGAACCCCCAGAACGGCGTTTCCAAACAAAAACACACCATCGCGGAAAAACCAGAGGATCAGTACCAGTTTTATACTGTTAGGTCAGTAATTTACCCAACCACGCCAGGTGAAGAAGTCAAATTTTCCGGAAAATCAACTTTTTCAGCTTCACATCACACATGCAAGACTATGTGACCCATGGCGAGAAAAAAAACACACGGGTGTTTCTTGTTCAATTCTGAGCACAATGGTGCATATCTTTGTGTCTTGAGCATGTATTCATGACGTATGGCTAACATTAAGTTAGCCATACGTCATGAATGTCATGTAACAAGGTCGGCCTGACGCGCGCGTTCCGTGGTGTCGTCGGTTGCCGCCCGCCGCCCGCACCGGCCGTGGATCGCCATGCAGTATTCCTAAAAAAACCGGTGCTGTTCCAACACCAGATCCAAAAGTCGCACTATTCAGTTTAACAACATCACAACTACGAGACCATGCTTTGCAACGAAACGACACTTAAAGGGGGTGTTCCACATCTGTAAGGTATTTTAAGCTGAAAGAGCCATCTTGAAATCATTCGGCGAAGTTCACAGCCCTACCCTTCTTAAGACCTACACACCTCTGGTTTCGGAGCTATGCGACCGCGAAGATGTGCTTTTATTTGAGGAAGGACTATTTCAAGGTCACCCAGGCATCCGTGACGCCACTGTAGCGCTATTGAAATACTGGTATCCCATTACCTACGCCGCGATCAACGACAATACAAATATAATGGCAGAACCGTTCAGTGTGGCGTTCGTGAACACGATTTCCAGATATAACGGCCCTCAACTGGCTATCAGTGTTTTACAAGGCGATGACGTAATCAAACAACGACGTGTTGAGCATATTTACTAAACAGAAATTGTGTTGTCTGGAGCGGTCATCTCCACTTTACAATATGTTCTCATGTAGAATATTCCTTTTAAGCATGTTTCTCGTCCCATTCATGGCGTACAATGATGCATCTTTTTACGTGCTTTGAGCATACATTTATGGTACATGACTCCGTTAATGTAACAATGTCGGCCCACCGCGCGCTCTCCGCGACATCGTTAGTTTTCATAACGCGGACTGATGCGGAGGATTAAGGCGACCCGCCTGGCGTTTCCAAAATAATGACGACGGAGCTTAGCAGAGAACACCCGCGGATTGGTCCCGACGAAATCTCGCGATTGGTACTAGTTTTTAGGCCACTCAGGCCGTAGATCGCCGTACAGTGTTCCTCAAAAACAGCCGCTGCTCCGACACCAGAAAAGCTAGGAACACGTTTCTGGCCTGAAAATACACGCAATAAATGCCTCATAGACTGCTTAAATATAATGCACGATTGCACTACATTCCGGAGAGGCATCCTCAGTACAACCATGAAACCATGGAGAGGGGGGGGGGGGGGGGGAGGATCCCATCATCAAGGCGAGGGTAAACAACATACGGATTACAGAGTGCTCTTGAAAAAGTAGATCGGGAGTAATTTAGTAGTTTTCATTGGTTGTGAGGTATGTATTGTATTAAAGGCAAGTTTAAATGAGCCTAGTCAATGACTTTGCCTGATTGTTGTTGATTATCAAAGCATACATGAAACAGTCAATCTCTACAAGCAAAACTACCGCCGACGCATTAAGCTTCCCTTTTATTCCACCTCGTACATGGAAGCAAATACAAACTTCCACCTCCAAACTGGTTGGCAAAAAGTACTCCAACCCTGAAATATGAATCCCCAAGTCAAAATTCCCACTTTGATAGATGGTTGGGACCACAGCTCCGACGTGCGCCTCCCAAGTAGGTCCGACCCCCGGCTGCGCCATGAACCCTCCTCCGGTGCTAGCGGCCACCGTATTGGCTGGAGGCCCAAACAGGGGTGAGCGAAGGCATGGCCAGGATTTCATTTCTAGTGAAAATAATTGGTTTTCCATGAATCATGTTCCACATAACTGTGATTATCAAACATCAAGCATTTTCTTACCAACAATCCGGCACAGGAGCCTGAATTGCCGATGACACAGTGACATCAGTGTGCCGAGGAGTCTCTGGCGGGTCAGCCAGACCACCTACCTCGCTTGATGATCTTGAACCAGCTGTTCACAATGCGCCGGTGCTGGTGTTTGTGCTTCAGACACCAGGCGGACAGCGTCTGGATGCTCTCGGCCGTGTCCTTAAGCTGCGAGAGCCGCTTCTCCAGGTCCAGCTGGCTGAAGGCACTCATCACCATCACCGGGCCGCCCGGGCGGCGGCTCTCGGCACGCCCCGGTCTCGCCCGCACCTCGCTGGTGCCGCACCACTCACGGGCCGCCGCCGCCGCCGCGCGGCCATGCACTGCCGGCCGGCCGCCGCCGCCGCTCTCTTCCCCGCGCTCACGGGCGGCACTCGACACGGCACCGCGCGGCAGGCTGTTGTCAGCAGCGCGGCAGACCACTATCGGCCTCGTCAGCTACGGTAGCGAAGAGCCGCGCCCGTCTGGAATTACAGACAACATTAAAGCCATGATCTTATGACGTGAACTGTGCAAACAATGCAATTTCTGCCAGAACAATCCACATGTGGCTATGCGCACCACCAACAACAACAAAAAAACAGGCTAAGATTACCCACACAGGCACAATATCAGCACCATTGGCGATGCATATCAAAACCTATCAGTCAGGGTTGGCGAAAGTTCTCAAGACTTGTGCTGGGTCAAATTACAAACATTTGCAAAAGCCAATGTTCCATTTGGTTCTAACAAGGACCAAATTAAGTCCTTTGAGCAAATGTATCATGCAGGCATGAAATCCTAACATTGACTCAACATAAAAGATAATGGCAAGAATCCTGTTGTGCTGATGACAAAAATGAGTGCTGTTGACAGCATGGTTCTGTGTCATCTTGGCTGCTGCGAATACACTCTCTACCACATAAGAAGTGTCACCTCAGTAGGTATACAACAAAAGCATGGAAATCTTGGGCAAACTGGGTCAAACTGTGCTGGCCTGTAAACTGACATCTTCTTGTCGACAATGTGTTAGCAAAAAGATTGACTACTTAAAAATGACCTGTGCTTTCCAGCTCATAGATGTCCATTGGCAATGTTCCAAGTACCAACCATGTTCAAAGCCATAGAAGCATTCTTGTAACCAAACAGACCTTGGTCTAATATATGTAAAGGAAGTAAGTCACAGACTTTCTTTGCCAAAAAAAAAACCCTAACTTTACAATAAAGGAGTGCCATCTCCTCAAGTAAACTCAAGTGAAAAGTGTGAACTTAAATACTGTTCTTCCAGAAACTTATAGGTAAGCTGCTCAGGGTGCAAAAGCATTATGGGAGATAGATCGAAATGCCTTTTTTAAATGGAAGCTGTAGAATTACACTTGCTTTTCAAAAATTTGCCTTCTGAGACCTTTGTGAGAATTACTGTCATGTTTTTGCTTTCCCTCCCCATTATCCTGCACCCCAAGGACACCCTGAGAATAGTGGAGGCCTCAGCAGGAGTGTATGCAGGCACCTTTGTAAAAGATAATATGATGGGAATGGTGTTGTCACAAAATATATATTTGATCAGGGTATACCTTGCTACCTCATGTTAAAAAAGAGCACTGTACATCAATCATCATTTTTAAGGCAGAACAGTAAAAACAGGTCATCTAATCTCTTACCTTGGAACTTAAGTAACTACGATAGCAAACATCTGAGCGCCACAAACACGCAGCAACCGCGACCCCGGCGCCATTGTTACACACGATCACAACAGTACTGTGTGATTACAACATTACTGCGCATCAAGAACCATAAAAATGCACGAGGCCAAGGTAACAAGAATCCTATGAAATACGTTCCTTGCATATCCAAGCGGTTTTCCATATTGTTTGTAGATTTGTCACCATGGTGGGGAAATGATGTTGTTGGGTGGAAATGAAAAGCAAAATGAGAATAAGGCAGCTAAACAAAACTTCTTAATATGGTACATATATATGGCATGGAACATGGATGCCAATGGGACACTGGGTCAAAGGGGATGGGGTGGGGGGTAGGTTAGGTTAGGTTAGGTTAGGTTAGCTTAGGTTAGGTTGTTAGGTTAGTTTAGGTTAGGCTGGGTTAGGTTAGGCTAGACTAGGTTAGGCTATGTTAGGTTAGGTTAGGTCAGGTTAGATTAGGTTAAGCTAGTTTAGGCTATGTTCTGGACTATTCTGGCTTATCTGTTTCATAAAGTACCTAGATGCGATAAGAAACGCTTTTCATTGCATTATTATTGTTACCTTGGCCCCATACATTTTTTAAGGTTCTTGATAAGCAGAAATATTGTACTTACCCAATGATAACACAGAAACAGTGCTGAGGAGTCAAGGCTGGTGGGGTGAGTGTGGGGCTCAGGGGGTCACTATCATAGTTATTAAAATTTGAAGGTAGGAGCATGAATCTACCTGTTGTATGATTACTTACAATATGTTTTGCCTTAAACACAACAAATGATGTACAATTTTTTCTAGCATTAGGCACCAATGTGAACCAACACCAAATATTCCATTTAACACACATGAGCCTAAATCCCACTGCCTGACCATATGGCCATCTCAGAATCACAGGCTTCTGCAGGCCTGTAAGGCAATGCTGTGCCAAAGCAAAGATGCATAATGTAAATACACTAACAAACCTGAGAATCCCTCAAAAGTGAGGTCCTTATCATTCCACTGTGATAGAGGCCCTCCTCAGCCTCCATATGCATCACTTCCTAACAACATGATTGACAATGTCAGTATTGCTTGTAGTTTTAACCAAATCCCCTCTGCCTTTGGCACTTATTGCAGACAAACATGCACAGGGAGGTTGAAAGAATGCTCTTGGCACACACTGCCTTTGCCATAACATCTTAGGATGATGCCCCACAATGCTTTCAAGGTGGTGAGAATGGCATATTCCACACCAGGTTCAAAACATCATTTACATCACAACTATTCACTGCTGCATGAGCAATAAGCTTCATGAAAATGTTGCAAGTTCTCTCCACACACCAGCTCCTACCTAGATGATAATGCTTTGCCAGGATCTCAGTAGCAATTTCAGAGCATGCAAGCCATACATCTGAGAGCCCAGTTCCTTACACAAAAGGAAACTGTGAGCAAGCTCACAACTGACACATGATAAAGATCAGGCTAAATTAAGTTCAAAACCACAAAAAAATTGACCTGGCCTCAGTTCAGCATATGCCTGCCCCAAGCTAAGTACTTACATCACGTAAGCACATGGAGCAGTGAACTTATTTTTGTAGACTGGCCCTCTGCCCTGGTTCCATATCACAGACACTATCCATCCCAGCAAAGAATGCAATTACGTTCGTACATACCCGATTCCTCAAGAATACTTTTTGAGCCGTATTCTATCTAACGTCGATTTCGGTTTAATTGAAATCCTTTTTGCACTCAACATTCAGCTACAGATCCAGACACATTAGTCGCAGCAACGCCAAACATCCGCGAGGGTTGAGGACTCAAGGCCACTTGTACGAAGATGTGTACGCGGGGTCCAGAGTAGCGGTAACGGCGCGGACATAAAGTTCTATATATGACGCACGTAATATTTGTAGACGAACTCAACGCATAACAAGAGGATTCATTTTCCCGTGTACTAAAATGACTTTACCTTCACTAAAAACGAAAAAGGTCTTACATTTTAGAAGTCGCAAGTCTACATTCAATATCTCCTACAAAAGCCAAATCACACTATTATTGTGTTATTACCACTACCGTTTCTCCAAGCTCAATACTCCATTTATTAAACCTGCTCTGTGGAACACCTTAGTCTAGCCCATGTACGGCCATGAAGGCTTTGTTTCCATGATATATATGTTTCAACCGCCATAAAAGTTTCATAAAATTGCATTTTATCGGCCTTCCAAGTGATGAACCGTGATATTACGACCGGTATAATTTGCGATATTTTCTCGAACCGGCGGCGCTGGCCTTTCCGTCTAAACAACTGGTAAGAGGTTGTCGGCATTATACTTATCATCGGGTTTACGGCTTTCGTTATCGTTGTTGTGAATTTAGATTCAAACATTGTTTTTTAATTTTTATTCCTTGATCAGCTCACGCATTGGGTCTGTGAAGCGTGACGGTCGGGGAGTGTCGAAGCGAACTCCAACTTCGTCTCGTGCGCTGGTACTGTGTGCACCTACCGTGCTTCGGTTCGGTGATCCTTTGGGTGCACTTAGTTTTCTCACAAACGGACTTTTTCATGGATGTGATGAATGTGTCTCTTAGACTGATATTTTTGTCAGCATATGCGAGTCCATGGCATGCTAAGTTAAGATGTTAACAGGTTTATTAACTGGAAAGCTTGCTACTTGCGTTTCCATATAGAATGTAGATGTAATGTCAGTGTTTCCATTGGAATGATTTGTTTGTTCATCTATCTGTTTTGCCCCATTTTATGATCATAATTCATTAAAGAACAAGGTAGAATGCCATGGATATCTCTACTTCAAATGCTCACAGTAGGAAACTGTGGCAGGTGTCTTATATTAGCCATGTGCAACATCAAAGCTGAATATGTTGGTCAGTGATTATCTCCAGGATAACCACTTAGGTCATTATTAGGAAGGGACCTTATAGTGGTCACTAACCTAATGGCAATAGCTTAACAGTGACTATCATATTAGGATATTTGTAGGTAGTACTTGAATGCAGATGGTTTCCATAGATGCCACAGACACCATAGCCAAGATGCCATGGCTCTACAGTGGCATATTGTTTAAGTGCAGGTGTAACCCAGCCTTCAACAACTGTGTCTTCTCTTAAGTATCAGCATAGAAGAGTGCTACATGTCATCTTTGGACATATATTTGAGAACATGTACAGAATTTGTCATGCAATGAGTACCAGTATGAGCCATTTAAGGCCCACCTAATGCAATACATTTTATGAACAGTTCAGGTCAAAGATGGTTTAAGCCAAGCTATGGTTACTGAGTTTGAAATTTTTTTTGCTTAATCGACCAGAGGGTGGACAACATGCTTTTTGTATGGAAAAAAATGAATTGGGAAAAGGCCATTTGTCTAGAGAACATTTTAAAGTAAACACATCATTTTCCACTGGGGACAGCATGGTTTTAAAATGGACCCTGTTCATGCATTATCTTGTGGCATTGAATATCAGTGTGGTGGACAAAGGTTGACTTGCCCCCATACTGGTAGCTGCCATGTCAGAGTAACTGGGTGTGCCTTTGGCCACTCAGCTTTCTTAAACTTAGTTCAGCGTTGCCTTACTACGACATTGACTCTGATGAAACATTTACATCAGGTATCTGATACCATAGGTTAAACT